CTCGGGAGCCGCCGCAGCTCTGCTCCGCTGATGTCGCCCCTGGCACTGCCCGGGGGTGCCCGGGAGCAGCGACCAGTGCTGCGGGGAGGTGAGTGCGGGATGGGGGCAAGCAGCCACCGGTACTATTGTTCAATATCCTGACAGCTTGGGCTGTTTTCCTTTTGTAAGTGTGTTTTGTTTTTTAATGGTATTTACGTAAAAGTTCAATGCCAAGTTGTAAAGAGAGGCACTCCTGAAAGCAGCGTGGGTGGGCAGGGGATGCTCTAAGACCAACATGACTTAAGCAGTAGAGTAAAACTTCCACAGTCTTCCAGAAAATGTTTTATTAATTGAAGTAAATTGCATTTCCCCTTGCTGCACTTTTCCTGTTCTAATACTCAGTTGTAGTCCTAAGAAGGAAAGCTTTAATTAAACAGAGGGAAAGGCTGCTGAAGGAGCTAGTTTTTCACCTGCATGGGGTTCTGCTTCGTTGAATGTTTCAGAGGCGTTAAGAATGTTTCAGAGGCGTTAAGAATGTTTCAGATGCAGCACAGTGGAATAGGTCGCTCTTTACAGAACCTGAAGTGCTCCTGGAGTGGGAGGGAGCATAGCAAGTCAGGTTTTGGCAGAGACTGGCAGCAATGTTGTGTGTCCTGGGGGTTTCTGGTGTGGTGACTGCACCTTTGGAGGCTTTGGAAAAACTCTGGTGGGGAAGGAGGGAGTTGCTGTGATGGCTTGGATGCTTTGGCTGGATCACTGCTGTTGGAGGCTGCTCTCTGTTTGCTGTCCCTGCCCAGAATGGGTGGCAGTACCTCTTATACCTCCATGTGGGCTGTAGGTTGGGAAAGTAGCTGCCTGAAAACTACAGTGTGTGCTGCTGCTGCACCTGTGCACCCCAACAGCTACAGGTGACATCCCTGGGGACACCCATACAGGTCCCCCATGTGCACCCTGGCACTGCTGGAGAGCAGGTAGGACGTGGTGCTGCCAAAACCTGCACTGAGGGCTGGGGAGCAGGTCAGCCAAGGCTGGGCTGAGAAGATGCAGCCCCTGATGGATGATCCCCAGAGGGTGACTGGTGCTGATGCAAAGGGAGAGCAGATTCGTATGAAATTCTGATCCCACGGGTGCAGCTGCCAAGCCCTGACTGCCTTTGATCTCTTCTCCCAGCTGGCAATTTGCAGGAAATCTGTGGTTTTCTATCAGAAGTGTATGTTGGGGTGGGTGGCTTCCTCCTCTAGCTGTTCTTCCTCTGTACATGCTGTACCACTGCTCCAAAATGTCATGCTGGATCTCTCACACAGTGTCTTCAGAAGAAAAAGGTCTTGTTTTTCCTGAGCTGCTGCCTTTCCCTGGGGATGTTCTGACTGAGGGAAGAGACCAGAGGTGTCTATGCAATTACTTTGTAAAGAGGTTTTTTGCATTTAATCAGAGAAAAAAGGACTTTAGCTGCCCTCCTGAGATCTCTGGGAACTTCTAGCAGTGAAACTAAATGTGCTACTGATGGAAACAGATGTTGGTACCAGCAAAATTCTCAATTTGCAACACATTGTCTGTAAGGGTTTGAAATTACTGGAGGGACATCCCACATATTTATGTGCTTCTTTTAATTGATGTTATGAATGTTGTTATTGCTCAGTCCATGTCATAGCTGAGGGATACCCAGGAATGGTATTTTGTCTAAATTACATCACCTTGGGGGTTCGGGTAGTGGTGATTGTTTAGTGACAGTGTTCTGCTTCTCTCCCCCAATTCTCCTAGCTATTTCAATGGAAACAGCTGGAAAATCTTTATTTCCGTGAGAAGAAGTTTGCTGTGGAAGTACACGATCCCCGCAGGTAAGGCTGGAGGAGGCAGTTTTGTCAGCAGAATGAGTCTTCACCCAGACTGGGAACTCGTCATCCTGTGTTAGCAGGGGAGGGTGGGAGGTGCCTCTGAGTTACCACACACAGGAGTTTGCTCTGGGCTTTGGGACTGAGCCTGATCCTGTGTTTGGCCAGGCAGATCAGGGCTGCATTTGGGCTGTGGGAGATGGACAGGCAGTGCTGGGATGTTGCAGAGGGAAGGTTGTGGTTGTAGCAAGCAACCTGGATGTGTTGAAGTGCTAGAACTCTGGATGTCCTTCCCTCAGGTTGTCCCTTGAGGGAGTTCTTGGAGCAGGAGGAAGACTATTTGGCATGGCCAAATTTGCTGTAGCACTGAGTGATGGGGAGCAGGAAACAAGAGTTTTTGCATCGCTGAAATAAAGGCTGAGCCTTGCCTGGTTAAGGGAGAGGCATCTGGGATTTTAAACCTCAAAGACCTGTATTGAAATTGCCTTTCTTTTCACTTCAGAATTTCTGTGTCAAGAAGGACCTTTGGTCAGAGTGGACTGGTAGTGCAGACCTGGTATGCAAACACTTCCCTGATCAAGTCCATTTGGGTGATGGCAATCAGTCAACACCAGTTTTACTTGGACAGAAAGCAAAGCAAAGTAAGTTGTAAGGCATTTTATTGTGGTCATGAGTTTCAACACCTTTCCTGTATATCCTTCAGAGTGTGTTTTTCCAGGGATGAACTACTCTCCAGAGAAAAACTACAAATTGTTTTTTGTCAGCTTTTTGAGCAGTCTATTAGTGACAGTATTGTTATTCGATCCATTTTAGCCTGCCTGCAATTAAGGGTTGTGGAAGTGTAATCACAGAAGAGGGAATTCCCAGTCTCTGTGTTTAATCTGCTTTTTTTTTTTGTCTCCTTCCTGTGTTTATTTTGAACACTGTGCAAACAGCAGAGATTTTTCAGTTGGGAGAGGGTTCAGGCTTTGGGGCAGAGGGGAGAGGAATGCCAGAACAGCCCTGTGCACGGTGTGATGCTGTTGCTTTAGCCTTAATTCTGTGGGAGATGAGGTGTGAAACATCATCTTCTGTGATCCTGTGTTCTGAAGTTAATTAGAGGTAACTCAGTGAGGCTGGATTTTGGTTTTTTTAATTCCTTCAGGCAAAAATTCCTTCAGCCAGAAGTTTGGATGATATAGCCATGGATCTGACAGAGATGGGAACACCAAAAATTTCCAAGCTGGTGACTTTGGAGGCCAAGAACCAGCTGATTATGGCCAGCAATGGCAGTTTGATCTCATCAGGTAACACTGCATGTGAATGGGAGGTGTCCAAGTACAATGTGGCTTGTGTATGTGAAAAGAGAAATGAGACTAGCAGAGAATACAAATGGTTTCTACCTGGAAATCCTCTGATAGAGAGTGTGTTTTCCAGGCTCCCAAGATTCAGAGGTCAGTGAAGAACAAAAGAAGGAGAAGATTATGGAACTCAAGAAGAAAGAGAAGCTCCTACAGGAAAAGCTGCTTCAGAAAGTTGAGGAGCTGAAGAAAATCTGCCTGCGGGAGGCGGTGAGAAGTGCACCTTACCCTGGGATTGGGCAGGTGGGAGCCCTTCTCCTCCCACTGGGCCTTACCTGGAGCCCCTCTCTGTTTCCCAGGAGCTGACAGGCAAGATGCCCAAGGAGTATCCTCTGAGTGCTGGAGAGGAGCCTCCCCAGGTGAGAAGGCGTGTTGGCACTGCGTTCAAGCTGGATGACAACCTGCTCCCGAGTGAAGAGGTGAGCAGGGCAGTTTGTTTTCACAGCAGGGGTGGAGTGGCCAGACCAGTGGCCAAAGGCTCTTGTAAATAATCCAGCTCTTCCCTGGGTGTTTAATAGGAGGCAGCTGGGACAGTTGCTTGCACAGAGTTGGAAATTTAGATGGGTACTGCCCTTTTGGCCACACTGCCTTTGAAATGACCAGGAAATTGTTTCAAAAGGCCTTAAATTTCCCTGACCTGAATCTCTGATTTGTCCATGCTGCTTGAATTTTAATGGACTTTTTGCTGCTAATTAGAGAAGAGCAGGTGCATAATGCCATTTGGCAGCACATGACTCTGAGCTTTTCTGGAACATTGACTTGTGTCGTGTTGGGATTGTGCTTGAACACAGAACGTGGCTGAGGTGTGCACTGTCCCCCTTGCAAAATCACCTGTCTCTGTGAATAGTTGTGTGACAGGTGACAGGAGGAGGAGTTTTATCTCTGGCTTAATGCAGGTTCCACCTAAGTAAAACCTCTCTGTATTGCTCAAGAAGCTAAAATGAACTTGGCTAGCAGAGACTGGCTCAGGTGATAATGTAATTCAGATATTTGCAGTTTCTGGACACATACCATTCCCCCTCATTCCTTGTGAGATGTGTTCACAAGCTGTATCATCCAAGCAGTAAGTAGATGTTGGGCACTTGGCATGTGTCTTTCACCAAAAATTCGTTCCCTGGCTGGTGTACTCCATGTCTGCAGCAAAGGGATTTTATGTGGGCTGCTTAAATGCTATTAAACCAAAATCCTGCTGACCACATTTAATAACCTGTTGCTTAGCACTTGTGCAGTGCCTTTCATCTGAGCTTCTCAGAGTAGTTTACAAACAATTAATTAAAGCCTCCAACTCCCTGTTACGTAGGTATGGTGATACCAATTTCCATTTTTATTTTCTCCAAAGTAGAGAGAGATTTTGTACACATCTTTTCAGGGTTGGACACACAGCAGGAGGTTTAGCAGCTCAAACCTGAGTTTAGGTGTCTGTGTTATGTCACTCAGGCTTGAGAACTTCAGACCTTGCCCAAGAGATCTCATAATCTTACACTAGTCTTAGAAATAAGATCTAAGAGTTTCATGTGCTGAGATTGTCTTGTGTATAAACATTGGTATTTCTGTGTTTTATGCTCAAGATTTCACTTCATTACCACAAAATTAGATCTTCTATTCAATAACTTTCATTGATAATTTTTAGCTGGACCACAAATAACTCATCTCACAAATTTGCAGGACCCAACTCTGCAGGACTTGGAGAGCAATTTTATCATACACCAAAAGCTGGTGGAAGCTGCCAAGAAACTTGCCAGTGAGCCAGACCTCTGCAAAAACGTGAAGAAGAAAAGAAAGCAAGATTATGCTGATGCTGTAAAAAAGCTGCAAGAGATAGAAAATTCCATAAATGAATATAGAATCAAGTGTGGCAAAAAACCAACCCAGAAATCAACTCTTACTCTACCAGGTAAGCAGATTATTCCCTGTGTTTTGATGAAAATAGGAGGGGAAAAGTCATTTGGCTTGCATAAAAGTTTTGTTTGCGTGTTCTCTATATTGGGTTTTTTTTTGTTTCCAAGGCAGTTAAATAAGAAAAAAGAGATGCAATTTCTGCATTTGATACGCTCAGTGCACTGCTATAGGCTGTGGGCAGAGTAAGCTGCAGTTTTGGGAGCAAGCATAGACATGTTCTAGCACCAGGTATGGACTGAAGGTGCTGCACACAAAAAGTCTGTCAGGAACAGCTTGGATGAAGCTCTTCTGGTGTCTGAATTCCGAGCTGTTGAGTGCAGTTGGATGTCTGAGTTGCCACATGTAACATCTCTCCCCATTCCCTCCCACATTGCTTCATTTCTAGCAAAAATAGAGTGTGTGTGAGTTTTTCTACAAGACTGAGGAAATAAGGATCAAAGACTTTGTTTCTTGATTCAAAATTCCTGATTTCCAGGAAGACAGGAGTGAAGTTTATGAATGTAGCATGAATGGATGCAGTATGAATGAATGTAGTAGCAGAGATTTTTGACTAAATCCTCTTGCTAGTGATGAGCAGAGTGAAAGCAGCAAGATATCCTTGGCCCTTCCTTTCTGAAAATTTGTTTTTCCTGGGGGAGAAGAGGTTCTTGCTGCTTCATAGGATAACATGTGGAAACCTGCTGGCATCCAAGCCAACTGAAGGAGCTTGGGAGTAGTAAAAACTCATGGGTATTGCAAGCTCTGCTAGTTTGTATAGTGATTAACAGTTTTATGACATATTTTACTTCTCCCCTTCATGGGAAATATATAGAGATAATCAATAATGTTTAATTGATTCATTTTCCTCCTTTGATCCAAAGGAAATGCTGTTTTGTGGGGTTAGTGGAGTTTTTCCTGGGAATTGCAAGAAAATGCAAGATTTTTTTTGCTGTTTATATTCATACCCTCTTACTGACCCTTGAGATGTGTGACCTTTTGCCAACATGTATTTTCCCTGGTAGAAACCCTTCTCCTGTGCACTGCCAGGTGTCTGTAGGGGAAAACTTCACCATGTCCCATTCCTGTTGAGGGCTTGGTTTGGATCCACACCACAGCAGCACTAGGCTATCCATCATCACCAAGTGCTTATTCTGAAAGGCTGATGATCACTATTTAATGTGGCCCAGCTAGTTCTTGATTGACAGAGAGGAGGGAAACATCTGTTTTCTCAGTCTCTTGCTCACCAATCTGGATACTAATTGTGGAAGGTCCTGTATTACCTGGGACATGTGATGTGTGGTAATGACCCAGGAAGGCTGGGGAGCAGTGGGAGGACCATGAGGCAGCAATCCAGCCACGATCACTGTTGTTTGTTGCTGGCAGCTTTTTATCCTGTTGTGCAAAAGAGCAACTAAGGAGTTGGTCCTCACACATTTAGCCCATCATTTTGCATGGTTCAATACATGACATCCTTGTTTGCTATCTGGGAAAGGTGGGCACAGCCAGAAGGGACCAGACTCCTTGTCTCAGAGAGTTTCCCAGAAGTTAGGGACTGCAAGACAGTGAATAATCAGCCAGCAATAAGCATCTGCTTTCCCTTCCAGTTCCAGGCCCTCACACTGTAGTGTGTATTTGTTCACCTGAAGCAGAACTGTGGTCTGCTTCAAAATTGATTCTATGTGTAGCCTTGTCACCATCACCAAGAGAACTCTCAGTCTCAAGGTACAGGTTTCAGAAGGCTGAACAGTGATGAGTCACTTGCATCTGTGAATTTGGGGAGTGCCTCATTGGAAAGAATATGTTTAATAGTACCATTGATTTATTGACCCAAACTGTAGTTATTTTCATCCCAGCCCCAAGGGACGAGAGATGAAGGACATACTGGACTCATATTTCCCATGTTCCACTTTCTCTTTTCTTTGCTTCCTCTGTAGCCTAGAGTTTCTTCCCCCTTTTTTGCAGGGAATTGCACAGATTTGGGATTTAAATGCAGATATGTCAGCACTGCAGGCCCCACCTGAATCCAGCAGTGTAGCTTTAGGCTGGCTTTTTTCTTTTCCTAGTTAGGTTTACTTTCCTCCCTGCACTGGGCCCAGTTCCATATTTCACCACCCCAAGTTCACATGAATAGGTTCCCCTGAAGCTTTTTCCCAGTGTCAAGTTGCAGGCAGAGCTGCAACACATCCTCAGTGGTCTGACAAGTCCCTGCAGGGCAGGGGCCAGCCCTGATCATTAGCCCTTCCTGAAAAGCTTCTCTGTTGACCAAATTCTTGTAATCAGACCTTTCCTCACAGCAAACTGTGGCAGCAAGAGAGTAACTTGTTACATGTGCTTGTGATGGGTAATATGGAGACACAGATGTCAGACACAAAGTGGCTGCCACTATTATGTTTTGTGGCTTTCTTTCTCTCGTGCATGGGGGTTCATGGAGACTTTTTACCCCACCCGTGCCATATCATGGCAGACACAGCTTAGGAACAGATTTTTCTATGGGTTAATTATCTCTGGTTCAGCCTAATTGCTGCTGCTGGTGTGCCCCAAACCTTAGCAAGGACAGGCTGTTTCTGAGTGAGGAGGAGTATGAGGTATCATGGTGAGAGGACAGGAAGGTGCAGTAAAGCACTTTGGACAAACAACAAAGTGTGAAAGAAACAAGAGATTTGTATGTCCATGCAACAGTTCCTGCTCTTTGTGCTATTGGAATTTGCAATAACTTGATTGAAATCAGTGGAATTATTCTGGATTGATATTAATTTAGTTGAAACTATCTGATGTGTGCTGATGAAACCTTCAAAAGGGAATGCCAAATTTCAAAAGGCATTTCCTACCTACCTGGTGGGGTTTCAGGTGTACCAACAGGAGATTAGATGCTAGCAGCCAAAATCTACATGTCTGTGTAGGCTCCTGACTCCTATTGAAACACCAAAACACCCTGTGAGATCTGTTGGAAGTTGGGTGGAAAACATCCATTGTAAATCTTGGCCTGATTCCTGTTGCAGATAAAAATAAATCTCCTCTGATAATTACCTTGGGTCGCTTGCTGAGTTGCAATACACACACAAAGTGATGATATACTCCAAAGCAAGGACAGTTTTCAGGCTGTGGAGGCTAAAGCATGTGGATTGCAGCATTACAAGTAGCAGCTGTCTCTGAAAATGTAGACAATAAACTGTATTGGGATATTTGGAAGTTGATGTTGGGTCTTGTATGCTGAAAGTGTTTGTTTTCATTCACAGATGATATAATTCCATCTGAGAGCAGCTCCTTGTCTGACACAACCACCTATGATGATGGTATGATCCCTATCCTTTCCTTCTGATGGAGTAGGTCTGTTCAGAGGCATTCCTTCGGCTTAATGTCCTTTAGCACACCCCTTCCCTGGAAGGGTTCAAGGCCAGGTTGGATGGGGCTTTGAGCAACTTGGTCTAGTGGAAGGTTTCCCTGCCTGTGGCAGGGGTTGGAATTAGATGATCTTTAGGGTCTTTTCTGACCCAAACCAATCTATGATTTTATGATTTTGGTGGCTTTTGATGTGGCTGTGTGGTGGCTATTACTTTATAGCAGAGATAAAAAGAGCTTATCAGGAATGTGTTTCCTTATAGTGGGTTAGTTACTGAAAGTTTCTGCTCTATGAGCTGATCTGAGTCATCTTTAGAGGAAGTAGTTGGTTTTAATGGGACCAACCTGCAAGCTGAGGACACTGTGGGCATCAAATACTTCACCCCTAGGACCTGGCCAGAGCTGGATGGACTTAGAAGCTGAGAGGATTGGCCCAGCCCTTCTGTCCTCACAGCTACTATAAAACTTACAGAAAAGTAGATAGTCACAGATATTAATGTTCTGTTTATGTTTATCTGCTCCCTAGTGAGCTTGCATCTTGCATGGGTTGGTGTTTGCTCAGCTTACTCATTTCACACACACACCCACAGACACACACTCACACCCTGTTCCACAAGGTGGAAAGGACTTGGCTTGCCTCTCCCTTAAACCGGATAATCATCATTTGGGGACAAACATTATCTAAATTATTACTCAGTTTTCAGTTCGGGCCTGATTTTGATCTCACTTTGTCCCAGTTTTAGACTGGGAAACCCATCTGGTGCTTTAAAATGGAATTATACCTGACTCCTGCTTGTACAAGGAGAAGTAGAGCCAGGGCTCTGGCTTGTGAGCATGTTCTCTGTGATGCTTGTGCTGGATTTATATGCATTAGTCGGAGTTTCCTGTTGGCTCTGTTGGGACCTGGGTTGTGCCCTAAGCAAAATGAGAACAAGGATCAAACCAGAGTCTTCCCAATTGCCTTCAGACAAATGTGTCTGCCAGTTGTCTTTGCTCATTCAGTTGCTTTTGAAGTCAGTCCCTTTTAGGTTGTATTTCAAAACTAATTCTTAGAATGTCGTTTTCAAGTAAGAGCTGGAAGGTGAGGGAGAGGAACTGGCCCTTGCAGAGGCTGAGCTTGCCTGCTTGGCTCTGGAAAGGATTGCTCTGCAGACAGGTGTTTTCCCAAGGAAGTTCCAAGCTGTGATTTGGCAGTCCCAAACTGGGTGTAATCTGTATAGTAGTTGGTCCTGCCATGATCTGTAGGAGCCTTCACACTGTCCTGTCCACGTGGAGGAGAGCTCAGTGCAGGCTGGAGAGCTTTTCTAGATCCACAGCTTCTGTCATCATCTCTAGTGCAAAGTGCTTCTCCTTAGAAGCCAAGATTTGCTACATCTCTAGTGCAAAGTGCTTCTCCTTAGTAGCCAAGATTTGCATATAGGGCAAAAAATATCAAGGGTTTTGCTAATAAAATACATATTCCTTCCTAACAGTCAATGAATCGCTTCCTGTAGCAGCACAGAGACCCAGCTCTGCACAGCTTTCTCCAAGACTTCCTCCACCAAAGTCCCTCGGGGTGGAGAGAATTCACCTCAGAAAGTCATCGATAAACGAGCAGCTCTTGGAAACCAGACACTCCAGGTAGGCACGTCTCACAGCTGCCCTGCTCTCTGCCTGCTGCTGTGAGCTCTGGGCTGCCCCTGCCCAGCTCCTGTTACTGCAGGCACTTCAGCAGAGCTGGCTGCCTCCACACTCTTCTGAGATTACAGGATTTGGCGATGGGAGCTAAATTTCCTGTTAAGGAACAAAAGTGTGAATAAGCAGTTGTCACAGTCTTTGAAACTGAAGAGTGGTGTAGTTCTTGTGAAAAGGTTTGAGATGGGTGAGAAATTTAATAGCATAATGGACTGTGTCTTGTGTGAGCAGCCTGGGGATGGCTTGCTTACAAATGTTTTAAAGTTTTGGGCAATGCCACAGGCTTTTTTCTCACCTGTTGCTTAAGATAAGCAGAAGACTGTTCCTTGTGAAGTCCACAAGTTGAACTATAGCCATATATAACCCTTTAGCTGTGATATGCTGCATTTTAAAGCCTGATTCCTTTGCTTCTCTGTTACCTGCTCTCTCTCCTTCATGCTTCTGCCCTTTGGCAGCAGCTTTTCCCACTTGTCATCCAGTGAGGACCTCCCTTGAACCACAAGAAGGGGTTGAATTTTTCTTCCTGTTTAACAACTCTATTCTTTACTTATGGAAGCACATCCAGTTATGCCCTTCCTTGGTTTTGTTGCCCTTCATTTTGTTTGTTCAAGACTTGGAGTTTCTTCAAGACTTCAAGAAACTTGTGTTTCTTCAAGACTTGAAACACAAGAAGGGGTTGAATTTTTCTTCCTATTTAGCAACTCTGTTCTTTACATACGGAAGCACATCCAGTTATGCCCTTCCCTGGTTTTGTTGCCCTTCATTTTGTTTCTTCAAGACTTAAAGTGCCTGTGCTCTTTGTGCTGTGACTTGCATGGTGTTTATCCTAACTGGGCTTGTCTCCTCCTTTCCAGGGACCTCCTTTCAACTCACAGCAGCCCTTACCGAACGCTGGAGCGACCTCCCCAGCCCCATGGGGGGAGAAGTATGCCTACAACCCCCGTGCTCACACGCAATGCCTACAGTAGCAGCCACTTACAGTAAGGGACCTTTGCTTTGAGTGCCATGTGCATCTTTAGGCAGCAGAAGAATAAAAGCAAGTGGTGTTAAAAGGG